CAGATGCTATGATGGATAGAACCCATTTATCTGAGGTGATGGATTGCCAACGGTGGAGAAATGGAGCCAGCCTGGTACAGTTCAGTGGGTAAAGAGGAATGTCAGAAAAGGCAGGCATAGGTAGTTGTCAATATTGCTTACCCTTTCGTTGTCCTTTACGAAAGGATTGACGCTGCTGAGGTAAGCTTTGAGGCCGGTATGATGCCATCAGAGGCTGAGGTGCAGTTAAGGACCTGTCAGTTTGGTGAGGACGATACTGTCTATAAGGCTGGAACCGTTGATTCTGGTATTGTTTGGGATGAAACTGGCCTGAACGGTAGAAGGGCCGTTGGTAAGAGGTAGATGTCTGAGCTGAATAGGAGCGCGCAGTTTTGTTCTTCTTATGAAAGTCCTCCATGGTATAATCGGTTGTGGAATTGAACAGGCCGGCACCATCAAAGGGTAAGTCCTCGATTCTGGACTTGGTGTCATCAGAGATCGTGGAGGATTTGAGCCAGGCATGGCGTCAAATAGAGATGGAGGTAACCAAAGTTTTAGAAGCGGCCTCAGCAGAGTGTTGCGCCGCAATCCTCTGATACTTGGCAAGAGAAATGGCTTGCGAATGGATGTTGATGAGATCGGATCTCATGGGTTCAGGAGGTGAGGCAATAAGAGGAAGGACTTGATTCCAAAGATGACGCTGAAAGGCGCCCATAGTTGCCTGGTAACTGATACTCCTGAGCAAAAAGGCTTGCAGAGAGTAAATTCGTTTTGCCATTGTATCAACTTTTCTGCCGTCTTTGTTGGCAAGGTTAAGCTTGGACCTAGCCTGGGTTCGGGCCTAACTAGATTCGACGATAAGAGTTAGGCACTGGATGTTTATTGAGGAATTCGGCATTGACACCATGGGTCCGATAGAGGCCATCGGTGCGGGGAGAAATCTGCATAGTAGAAGGAGGTTTTCCCCAAGTATTCTTAATAAGTTGAAGGATGGACTTGTTAAAGGGGAGACTCAAAGGAACAGGACGCTCCTGGTTGATGTCATTGAACACCGGGGTCGGCATCCGCGGACGAGGGTTGTTCGGTGTCGAGATTCAGGGCTTGTGCCATTTGGAAAATAAGCGTAGAATAAGAGGAGAAATCATCCAAGGAGGACAAAGCATGGCTGCCCCTTGTATCTGGGACTGGAGGGGGAAGCTCAGGCTCATGGGAGGACTCAGAGTGTTGTGCCTCCGAAGATGCAGGGGAGCCTGGAGATGAAGGGTAGTCTGATGGACCAAAGCCCTCTGTCAGGGGAGCTTGGTGCCACTGGATAGGCATGTCTTCAAAGGGGCCTTGAGATGGCATCGGGTCTGGCATCAATGGTGCGGGACCTAGGGGCTCTGTCTCACATTTGAATTAGAGGCATTGGCTTAGATGGGGCAGGAGGGCATACAGGCAGAGCTGAAGCCGTCGGGGCCAAAGTGGTCGCGCGGAGGCGATATGAGTCCACAAAAGGGGCGGCATGGGGAAGTTCAGGCTGGTACCTTTCGTACAGGGTTTGCCAGATGAAGGGGTCAAAATGGTATGGTACCATTGGAAAAGGGCAAAAATTGCCTTGCGATGGCACGGACCTCGACGGGGAGAGGTGCTTTCGTTTCTCCTTTCTCTTCCGTGGAGGTGAAGGGGGAACCTCCAGATCGGATGCCGAGCTTTCAGCTGCTCGCCCTGAGTCAGGGTTGGAATGGGCTGAGGCCGGGCTGGACTGTGGCGCAGCCGCGTTGAGGCCAATGCTTGGGGTTTGGAGCGGCATTGTGGGGGGCCCCCGCAACATCATGGGCTTCATCTCCATCCGAGGCCAAGTCACGGGCTTCTCTGGATGATTCCTCGAGGATAGGGGAAGGCTGAGGGGGCTCCACTTGGGGAACTTTGTCCTTTCTAGGCCTCTTAGGGGCAGGTTCGGGCTTTTTCTTCGAGCTTGCATTGTGCGGTCGAGACTTCTGAGAGGAGGACAACTTGTGCTTACCAGACGATTTTACTTTCTCAAGAGTTTTCTTAGCTGGTAGCACAGAGGTAGAATCAGAGGTAGACTGGCCTGCTGGAAGTCTATCGGCTGAAAGGACAGGAGATCTAGCCGCTTCTGAAGACGCAGTAGGAGGATTCATGGCTGTTTGCCAAAGGTAAAACCGGAGTCTTTGGAGCCTCTGTTTAAGTGCCGGCTTGGTTAAAATTTTACAACCAGGACACGATTGGGTAGGATGTTCCTCACCCAAACAAAAAAGGCACTGGCTATGACCGTCTGAAAGTGCGATTTTATTTGCACAGGTCGTACACCTTTTAAAAGGAGACAGTGAGGCCATAAGCAAAGAACTAGGGGGGGAAAAGGGGAAAGGGAGGGGAGCTGATTAGGCAAACAAAAGATGCAATCACTAAGTAGGTAATTTAAAGTAAAGATAAACAAACAAAAGCTCAAAGGAGCCTAGAAAAATAGCCAAAAGGCAAATAGCGAAGCGCTCAATCTTTCCTGAGAACTGTTCAGCTCGGCGGAAAAAAGGAACTGGGGAAGATGATGGGTGGGAGGAGCATATACCTCGTGGAGGATCATACCATAAAATTGTTACTTTTAGTTCTAGAATCTTCTGAGAGAGTTAGTGCAGGCGCAGACAAATACCCATATGTGTGCATTTACAGAGGCCACGAAAAAGAATATATTTTTAATGACAAAATTACCAGAACTGGCTACAAGAGGGAGCCAGAGACCATGCTATGTATAGTGGTTGCTATAATCTGAGTTTTGCAGCATCCGCGGGGGGGGGGCGCTTAGCACCAATCCCCTGAGGATATAGGGGTAGTGCAGGCGCAGACAAATACCCATATGTGTGCATTTACAGAGGCCACGAAAAAGAATATATTTTTAATGACAAAATTACCAGAACTGGCTACAAGAGGGAGCCAGAGACCATGCTATGTATAGTGGTTGCTATAATCTGAGTTTTGCAGCATCCGCGGGGGGGGGGCGCTTAGCACCAATCCCCTGAGGATATAGGGGTCCTACTGTACTTAAAACATCAGCAAGCAAATCACCTGGTGGTCATTGGTATAACTTGGTAAGTTTTTAACTGCATGTTTCTTTGGCTACAAACAGCATTTCGTGAAAGGACAGTATTCATAACATCGAAAAGCTGTTCGATCCGCTGGTCTTGCCGGAGGTCTTCTCCTCCTTTCACAAGGAAAGGATATTCCCGTTCATCACTCCCTCTGATTATTATACGTGTTGGTTTCCGGATGGATGCCATTACTTTTATCTTAAATACAATGGAGGAAAGAAAGATACAGTTTTTACTTGGAAGATGACAAAATATATTGAAAGAGAGGAATAAAATGATATTTCTGCATAATGTGATAATGAAATTGGGGAGTAGACTACAGTCCTGTATCATTTCACCAAAGATCAGTGGTATTTTCTTATAAAGCACCATAGCTAAAGGTAAAGGTTCCCCTTGACATTTAGTCCAGTCGTGTCCAACTCTAGGGCGCAGTACTCATCCCCTTTTCCAAGCCATAGAGCCAGCGTTTGTCCGAAGACAGTTTCCGTGGTCACGTGGCCAGCGCGACAGAATGCCATTACCTTCCCACCGAGGTGGTACTTATTCATCTACTCGCATTTTTACATGCTTTCAAACTGCTAGGTTGGCAGGAGCTGGGACAAGCGACAGGAGCTCACTCCGTTGTGTGGATTCAATCTTATGACTTGCTGGTCTTCTGCCCTAGCAGCACAGAGGCTTCTGCAGTTTAACCCGCAGCGCCACCACGTCCCTCATAAAGCACCATACAAAAATATAAAATTGTATTTTAGATTTATAGGTTACTAGTATATTATAATGCTTTGAAACAGCTTAATCTGAGAAGGATGCTGGATTATTTCATTATATTTCCAGTTTTCCCCAGAACATTAACAGTATGCTTTATATATTAATATATTGACTCACCCGCTCATCAAATCCAGAAATTTTGGCATGGTATTCTGGCAATGGCTTTCCTTTACCATCATACTGACCTGAATATGTAAAATGTCATATTTTAACTGACCTTCAAAACTGGTTAACTGATTACACAAACATAATAATGGCACTCAAAATTACACTGGTAGAAGATCTCAGTTACCAAGAGCTTCTTTTTAGGCTCTAACCATGTAGTAATAGAAATTTATATTCATCCATGAATTTATTTTCCAATTAACTGGGGAGATTAGTTGTAAGGAAGAACAAGTATGCAAGTTCTTTTTTTTGCTTTGTATTACTTTTGCAGTCTCTACCTGGCACCCCAGGTATGGAGGAGGTGCAGAAGCCTGGATTACAACAAGGCCTACTGGGCTGAATCTGGGCGCAAAACAATCATCCTTAGGTCCTTAATAATTTGAACAGACAAGCAGAGCTCTTGTCCCATAAGCCTGTTGTTAGGCTTACAATGGTGTTTTTGCATTCCATTGATGGAAATTGCCTGGGTCCAGGGTCCTGGATGCGTGAGGCCGCTTTTGCTAATCATGAAGCTGTCACTCCAAATGAGTCTTAGTCTTTACAATGACCTGACTGCCTACTGACGATAAGAAGTCTACCTTCCTGTGAACGAAACACAGGGCTTCCATCTAGAACTTCTGATTTCTAAGATGTTACTGCCAGTGTTTTTCAGGACACTAAAGATGACTGAGAATAGCTTTTGATCGATCCTTCCACAAGATAGGTTCAATTGGATCTGCAGGAGATGCCCTGTGGCAGCACAAATCTTCAAATACCTGCTTAGATTTTCCAGTGCTGGATTTTTAAAAATCTGTTTTTGGGGATCACATGGAATTCAGTGCCAAAATCCTACTGAACATGAAGTGATCTGAAAACAACTGTCTCCAGAGATCTGAGAAACCAGCCAGCTATTCCCCAGATGTCCCTTTCTCCACTGCCAAATCATGCGGAATTGGGCTAATTTTATTGTTTTTGACATTCAGAGTGGGACATACACAGATTTGGACCTCTGATTCTGCTTCCTTCTTGGCTTGCAGTTATCTTGGGGTTTTTTGGGAAAGGGATATTGTTTTTCGGTGGGTGTGTTTTTCACAGGTGGAGTCATGGAAGAAAGGAAGTGGTAGTCTAAAGCTGCAATATGTCCCAGGAGGCATAAGCTATGAAGGCTGCCCTTGTGGCCACCTGCCTGATGGCTCCAGGGGTCTCCTTCTCTGGGCAAACTTCCATCAAGGCTTATATTTGTCCCTTGAGCAGCAATAAAAGCTGTAACTTCAACTTTAATTATGGTTACCAGGCCTGGTCTGCTGTAGCTTCCACCCTACTGCTTGCTAGTCTGGTAAGAGTACCTTATGTCTGAGAGGCAAGGATGGCCTTCGAAATTAAAGCTTTGAGTGGATTGTGTATCTTGGATACTGCCAGGTCTGCCATAATGTCTGACATCCTCTTGCAGGTGGTCCTTAAAGTAACTAGACTTAGCTTTGGGCTTGGCTAGCTTTCCCCATGTCAGTCAGGGCCTGAGGTGGGAAATACCCATGATGAAGAATATGTGCTGTGGCGAAATAATCTTCATCTCCCACTAGTCTTTTCCTGTCCATCCACAAGGTCAGAATAGATTGGGTTTATGAAGTTTAAAGGTAGAGGGGTATAAGGCAGAGAAACTATAAGGCACATATTGAAAATATGAAGATAGAGAGAGATTTTGTGGAAGTAAATCAGTGGAGAGAACTATTTCTGCCTTTTCTTCCTGTCTACCAGCTGTTCTACAGCTGATTGCAGGTAGAAAGGACCAATGTAACAGCTGAGTCTGTTTTCGAACATGAAACTATCCGATTAGGATCCAATGACTTAATCTCTACCTTAAATATACTCATGATAAGTGTTTCTTCATCTGTTATAATGAAGCCATAACAACTTTCCTGCCATCTACACAATAGTGATTTTTTTGTGATTTTCACTTCTTTTCCCGTTCGTCAGATGTGAAAGTAATATTTATTTTTAGTTCTGCTTTGTTCCAGGAGGAGTTTAGCACTAAAGCACTTTCCATAGTTGAAAGCAAGAGTAAGAGTCCTTCTGTCAAAAGCTTGCAATTCATCAGTGAACCAAGCTTGTAGCCCCCAAAGAGAAGCTTCAAAAAGAAACTATCAAACAACTGGCAATCTTAACTATTTTTAAAAGGATTATTTTTAAAGGATTTCCTAACCGTGTCCTAAAGAGAAATAATTTCCTTTAAAAGTAGAGAAGTGGGTTTTAAAAGAGAAGTCTACACATGAATCCCAGTAGACTCTGCATTCATTATGTGGGCTCTTCCCTTCAAGAGAAGGCTTTTTGTGTTAAGTGAGTTTTCAACATGGTTCTAATAATCCTAAATGTGACAATCAGACTGTTTCCCCCCCCTGCCCCATGGAATGTGTTGGTTATCTCCCCTGCTAGCTGTTCCAGCACCGGGGACTTGTGTCTATTTATAGAGGAGAATAGTACTCCCAGAGAGGAGCAGGAACCATCTCCTAGCCCAATCTCCAGCTCTTTTGCTTCTAGGAAAAAGATTACTTCTTAATGGACTAAAACCATCCCAAAGATCTAGCTCACTGGATGGCAGAAAGTAAGCAGAAAACATGCCTCATAGGAAATCAGAAGTATTGTGTGCGTGCCAGCACTATGTTATTGGTAATGCCTATTATGCAATTTGGCATGCAACAGATGATGCCTATGGAAATTTCTTAACTTAACCAAAAGGCAAGTCTTCTGCATATCAGTACCATAGGATTTCAGCCAATATATTTTTCAATCGCTTCTTCTCTCTTTCAATCCAAGGCCAAGCTTACCAGGTATTTCCAGTTCAGTCCTTAAGAATTCTGGCTTGAACTCACTCATCCAAGAGGAACACTCCTTCAGATTCCCCGGTTCTTTCTGACAGTCCCTCATTTTTGAGAGGAGAGGCTCCACAATAGTATTGAAATCGGCTGTTTTCATATTTAGCAGCTTGGTACCTCCTTTTCCAAAATGATTCTCAAATTCCATCCCAAATTTCTGAAGAAACAAAATATTTTATAATGCAATATTTTATAATGAACGGAAAATTAGAATTAGAATCACTTTCAAATACCAACTAAAACCCAAAATCAGTGCACTTTGTTAATCTGAAGAATGGTAATTTTACTGGGTCATAACAGATGATAACCAATGTGATATAGTGGATAGTATGACAAAGTATGACAAAACTAGAACTCAGAAAACTTAGGTTCGAATCCCTGCTCAGCCATGGAAATTCACTAGGGTAGTGGAACATGACTTTGACCAAATTCCGGGAGGCAGTGGAAGGCAAGGAGGGCCTGGCGTGCTCTGGTCCATGGGGTCACGAAGAGTTGGACATGACTTAACGACTAAACAACAACAAGTGGAACAAAACCATTCCTTAAATATATCACTTACCTTGGAACCCCTATTAGGGTCATTATAGGTCTTCTGACTTGACAGCATGTACTGTGTTTCCCCAAAAATAAGACAGAGTCTTATATTAATTTTATTTTCAGGGAATGTTTTATTTTACACTCATGTCATCTTCTGGTTTCTGCACAATGGTGGAGGGCGGGGTTTCACTTAACTAGGGCTTATTTTTGGGGTAGGGCTTATATTAGGAGCATCCTGAAAAATCATACTAGGGCTTATTTTCAGATTAGGTCTTATTTTCGGGGAAACTGGGTAACACCCTCCCCAACAGAACATTCACTTTTGAAGCCCGTTGACTTACCAGACAGACAAGCACAAGCACACAGGATCAAAATACATTTTGCCATTATATATTTAGTTTCCTACTGCAGTATCAATAATATTCAACTCTAAAACTGGTATATCAATAAATACCTGAACAAATCGCTTTCTGAACAAGCCAAGACCTGGAGCTTGTAGATTTCCTAAATTCTGGTATATTCCATCATACAATTGCTGAATCTTGTTTTTATTTCTTTTTGTTTTGCCAAGTTCATTTCTAATATCTTCAGTCCAATCCTATGAAACCACAATAAAAGGGTGTTCATGTCCATGTACAGAAATCAAGAGTTTAAACATAATGGCTACTCTAATGGAAATTTGGCAATAGGCAACTTCAGGAATCATTTTGATAATCTGACACGCCTATAAGATTCAAACAGCACTACAGAAAACACTGACTCTAATGGCCAATATCCTTGCCTCCTCAAACTAGCCTTAATATCCCAGTTCATGCAACAGTCCATTGTACAAACAATTTGACATTTTGTGGTGCTTGTGTCAGACAGTAGCCAGTTTCTCCTTGTGCAAGTGAAAGTCTCATCGATTCGAAGTGGAACTCTCTGCAGTCTCTATTTACACAGCTGAGATTGAGTGGAGCTATACCAGTGGAGCATTATGCTCCACCTATGTTAAATAGGGATCTTATCAGTAAACTTTGGATCACTTCACTTACAAAAGTTTTGTTCATTGTACCTTGAAAAGCATCACAGGATTGGAGAGCTGCTCCAAGGCATGGACAAACTCTTGTATCACTCGTCCTTTATCTAATTTGTTTTTCACCCTGTTTGGGAGGCAGGGAATCACAATGGGAAAGAAAAACAGCAAAAAACTCATCACAGCAATGCCAGCTTGGTGAACACATTCATCTCTTCTATTAGCCACTGTTATTTCTTAAATCATCAAAGAATAGCAAGACCAACACTCAGGTTCATATTCACAATGCTAATATGTACTAAAATCCATTTAAGTCCAAATACATCCAAATATAACACTGACAATAACTGGGGCTGGCAACATGTCTACAGGGGTCCCAATCCCTAGATAGATGCTTTGGCTTGCTGTCTCTTCTGATTTCTAATGGGGATGGGTGTAATTGAAATTTTAGAAATCAGACCAAGTCAAAGTAAGTTTTTTATGATAAGATTTGTTACCCACAAAGTAGTATTTTTGACCACCCTCCTTTCTTTCACATTTAGCTTCTCTTTTCACTAACATGAAAGTTATGCTGGTGTCAGAGGCATCTACTGTGATAGACAAACCACTGGCTTTTCCCACGTGTATCTGTGTTTTTTAACTGCTGTATTTTAATGTAGCTGTTTCATAATTGACTTCATTCTGAATTTTTCAGAGGCTGCATGGCAACCTTTTTCTATTCTTGAAAAATATGCCTTTTACTTTTAAGATTTTCATCAGCTGACCAAGAATATTTTGAAACCACCAAGGTTTCAAGCTTATATTGCTTAATGATTAATTTATTATGGGGAACTACTATTGTTGCAGGATTGTAGCAGTCTTCTATGAAACTTCCTAGAAGTTTCTTTTTGAAATATTAGCAGCAGCAATGAATGAACAAAAGAATTAGCAGATTTAAGTTAAGAAGTGATACAAACTGGAGAAGTGGCAGAAAAATTATTTATATGACAATAGTACTGGGATCTCAGTGAATAGGATTCAAACTGCAGTAGGTCCCATAAGATCTATTCCCAGGTGAAGAAGTACAGCACTGCAGCCTAAGTCACAATAAGAACGCAATCCTATGTACTTCCATGGATCCTATGTCTGGGGAGAAGATGCATAGTACCTCACCGATATCAGTGCAACTTTAACCCCTTATAATTAACTTTGTACAATGAAATTAATTAAATGTAGATTCAGGTCAATGCACATCAGTGTAAGTGTGTGCCAAGTTGCCCTTTAAATGAATCTGTAGACTTCTACAGATTTCAGATTATGATTTACATAAAAATTATAGGATTTCTACTCCTGAAAATGTAAATATACTGAAAAGGTAGGTTAAAAAAAAGACAAAAGGGTGTTCACATAACGTTGTGTGAAGACACCTTCTGCCTTGTTCATAGTATTTTCGTAAGATTTTCTGTAAATATTATTTTTCACTTTAGCCTCTAGGGATCATTTGAGTAACTGCGGGAGCTGGGAAGGAAGGTGGATGGGGGCGAGGCAGAAAAAGTCAACCTCTGCCTCTGTCTTTCTGCAAAATTATGTCTACATTTCGTGCTGTACATATACATGTCTACCAGTACAAGGTAACGGTTCCCCTTGACATTTAGTCGTGTCTGACTCTAGGGCGCGGTGCTCATCTCCGTTTCCAAGCCATAGAGCCAGTGTTTTGTCCATAGACAATCTTGCGTGGTCACATGGTAAGTGTGACTAGACACAGAACACTGTTACCTTCCCGCCCTGGTGGTACCTATTTATCTACTTGCATTTTTAAATGCTTTCGAACGGCTAGGTTGGCAGGAGCTGGGACAAGCAACGGGAGCTCACTCCATCATGTAGATTCGATCTTACGACAGCTGGTCTTCTGACCTTGCAGCACAGAGGCTTCTGCGGTTTAACCCTACAAACCCTATGTTAAAGTACATATTATCTCGAGTATTTACAACTATTTGAGTTTAACTGGCACCAAGAAAGGCTTCCAAAAACATTTTAGCCAGTTTTAACATCACCTTTCTACAAATTCCTTGTTCTTATGACCAATGACTGTTTCAGGGAACGAAAAACTTTCGCTGCTGATCATGAAGGGATACACTATTGCCTGTGGGTAATTGTTGGCAATCTCTTCCACTGTAGGTTGCACAGCACGTGCTTCCTCTTTGTCAAGCACTGCCATCAACTGGCTAATCCAGCCAATAAACTGCCAACAGGGAACAGTGGACATCTGTAAAACATAAGAAGATGTGTGAATGTGAGCAAGAACAAACAAGACATTTCTCCATTCCAAACTCAAGAGAAGCAATCACAATGTAAAATAGTACTTTTCCTGTTGCAATTTTTACCTGGAAATGTTTATGGATTATACCAATTAGCAAAATAGCCAAAGCATATTTTAATACATCTGAAATAAGCATGATTTTTCTACTCAGGTGTTAAGTGGCTGATGTGCTTAGTGCTTGCACCTGCACTTCTGCAGCAACTGAAACAAGCATTCAAGAAACAACCAAGCACTGGAACACAAGTCTTCAGATGTTGTCAGCACCAATACATTTCCTCAGGAGAAACTGCTCCAGCGTTTTGCCAACTTTCATCCCCTCCCTTTTTTTTTACCCTGGTTGGTTTTATAATATCTATTTTGAGATGATCTCCAAAACAGGATTAGTTTTACATAGCTGTCACACACTTGGCCAGTATTTCTATTGAGCTGTCCACTGTGGACCCAAGTTTTCTTTTCTTAATTCAGTCACTGCCAGACCATACCCAGTCTGGATATGTATGAAATTACAGGAGTTTTTGTCCCATTGTGCATTGGTTTGCAGTTACTTATACTGAGCAGTGTTTGCGATTTTATAGCTCATTCTTCCGGTTTAGAGACAATGTTCTGAAATTCATTCCTTTTTAAAATTTTATTTGCCCTGAATAACTCAGTATCATTTCAAAGTCCACCTTCTCTTTCTTTTAGTTTTAATTTTATTTTTTCCCCCACAGGTAGGAAGACTCACCTCTTGCACCATGAGCCCGGAAGTCTCTCTTGGATACTTCTCTACTATTTGCAATAGTCTGGGAAATTTTAACCTAGCTTCTTCTGAATTCATTTTTAAAGCTTTTATTACTTTCTCCACTACAATGCCTGGGAATATCTGCAAATCCACAGCATCTATATCTGACAAAACACAAAAATACACCAGATAGAGTTATAATCCATGCTATTGATAAAATCATTCTTTATACATTAAATAGACTACCTTGTCAAAGCTTATACACAAGAAAATCCTTGCTTGGTTTTTCCTTTGTTGAACACTTACTTGATTGTAACAATGTGGTTCTCTTGCCTTCCACATTTTGTCTGTACAGATATTATCAGCTTCTTCCCATAAGAAAACAGACTTATGTCTCATTAGTATTAGGCTGGCAAGAATGATGTTCAAAAAACCAATGATGTCTTTAGCATTTCCACAATTTACAGATGCAACCATATTCTATGGAAATTGATTGTTTTTTTTTAAAAACTGCCTGGACTCAATGGTGTTTTTCTGCTGCCTAATGGAATGGTGACTAGATCTAGGAGGGTTACATTTGATGTTTCTTGAAAATCTACTCCAGAAAATGTCCCAGATCTCCATGGTAGATTTTGGAGCTATTCCACAGCTAAAGGAGGTGGGTCCACATAACCATTTTCACTAATAAAACTATTTCTGTCACTGCTATTTCTGGGTCAGTTTCTTTAATTCTAAGCAATTGTCAATCCAAGCATCTCCAGATCAACTAACATTACTTTTTGATGTTGTAAAACCATCATTGGTTAAATTTACGGTCCCTTTGAGGGGAAGAAAAATACTAGTTACTTACTATGCCAGAGTAAATATGGAACTTAATAGTCAACTTATGTTGCATAAATGAGCTCTCAACATACCGTATTTGCCGCCGTACAAGGTGACTGGGCATATTAGACGATCCCCCCCCCCTTGGAGGCATGTTTTTGGGGCAAGGGCGAGAAGGGAAGCAGGCGGAGGAGGAGGAGGAAAGGAGAAGCAGCTCTCTGGTGGCGTGTGGGCGAGCAGGCTCAGCAGCGTGGGGCAGTGGGCTCTGGCCGCTCAGGCATGGCCGGCTTTGCTTCCCTTCCTCCCTCCGGACGGACCGCCTGCCTGCCCGCCTGCCTCCCTCTCCGGCCGGCGCGGCCCTGCATCACTTACTCAGTGGTGGCGGCAGCGGTGGCAGCGGCGGCAGCACCTCCTTCCTGGCCCAAATTAAGTGCACCTGGCATACAAGACGACCCCCCCACTTGGAGGCATGTTTTTGGGGCCAAAAAGTCATCTTGTACGCCGGCAAATACGGTATATCAGTTTTCAAAATGCAAAACCATCACTTAACCGATAGTTAAGTCACTATGTCAAAACAGAATACTATCCTTTTGTCTTTCAATTGCATCCCATCACTCATCTTCAAGGCCACAACCCATCTGTTAACTTACCTGCTGAACTTTCTTCCTCTTTACGGAGATGACTATCACAGAAATTGGCTAATGTCATATAAGCAGTTATGACACCATTTATATCTATGTGGTCAGATGATATGGACTGTAGTTCTTCTTCAGCATTCTTTGCAGCTTTAATGAAACACTGGAAAGCTCTTTTGTTTAAGCCTGCTATAACCTGAAACAGCAACACATTAGATCCATATGGATGGCTAAATTATTTAAACACTGTATTTTTGAAGGCTTTCACGGCCAGGATCTGATGGTTGTTGTGGGTTTCTCGGGCTCTTTGGCCGTGTTCTGAAGGTTGTTCTTCCTGACGTTTCGCCAGTCTCTGTGGCTGGCATCATCAGAGGACTGGAGTAGGAACTCTGTCCATGCTCTGTTGCTGTTTGTTGGATAGTTGAGTATTTATAGCTGTGGGGACAGCTTTTGTCCTTTTCAGGAGATAGGATGATCAGTGTGTTTTTGTTGTGGATGTATTGTTGTGATAAGTGGGAGAAATTATCTGTCACTGTGGTTGATGGGGGTCTTCAGCAGGTCTTTTTTGTGCAATGATCCCTGGTCCTTGTGGCTGGGTAGAGTTCGTTGATCTTCTGCAGGCTGTATTTTCCAGTGCTGGAAGCCAGGCCTTGTTCAGTTTCAGACTTTCCTCTTTTTTGTTGAAGCTATGCTGTTGTTTATGGATTTCAATGGCTCCCCTGTGCAGTTGAAGAAGAAAGTCTGAAAGGGACAAAAGCTGTCCCCACAGCTATAAATACTCAAGAGCATGGACAGAGACTGGTGAAACGTCAGGAAGAACAACCTTCAGAACATGGCCAAAGAGCCCGAAAAACCCACAACAACCATATTTAAACATTATTTAAGAATGAAAAGGTTATTTATCATCCCTTAAACAAGGGTGCAAAGTGTTTTTAATTCAGACACTTAAGACAGAAAGTATGCAAGACTCAAGGAAAAGAAGATTGTAAGAAACAAGAGCATTTGAGATCTGAAGCAAGAGAGCTTTTAATGAAGGAAACATAACTTCTCTGCACACTTACTCCTACCCACAAAACTTAGGGAAGGCTGTATACCTTTCTTTTTGTAGCCATCATCTATTGCTCCCCTACCCATTCACTGGTAGCAAAGCTTTTTTAATCCTCCTCTAAATCAACAGCTTGAGATCATTCAATAGCACCAACTACCACCAAAGTAAAGGATGTAAATACTGAAATACTCCTTCTTGAAGTGCATTCATTTAACTTATGGTATCTACTGTAATAAGAAAATTTATCCTGATGCTGTTCTTCATCTAGGAAAATATCATGCTTCCTCGAAAATAATTTTGCTCCAAAAATGCATTAGGGCTTATTTGCAGGGGATGTTTTATTTTTTTTCCATGTACAACAATCTAGATTTATTCAAATACAGTCATGTGATCTTCTGGTTGCTGCACAATGGTGGAGGGCAGGGTTTAACTTAACTGGGGCTTATTTTGGGTGTAGGGCTTATATCATGAGCATCCTGAAAAATCATACTAGGGCTTATTATCAGGTTAGGTCTTATTTTCAGGGAAACAGAATAATAAACTTTACTGAAGCCATGGGTAATTTTTACTTCCCTGTCCTCTTTGGTTTAGGACAAAGAAAATCCAGTTGTATTTCTAATTGATTGATCAGAAACATACTTTGAAGGGGACAGAAAACTACCTTTTCAATATTGTCAGGCCTTTCACATGAAAGTGCTAGGACTTTGATAGACTTTTCTTTATCAATTTGGTCAAGAGATCCTGGATCCTTCGAAAGGGCCTTGGCCATAATATGGAAAGTGGTACCCAGAAGCAGACTTTGGTTGCGGATGGCTAGTGCATCATTGTTTACAGTGTCAGATTCTGTTGGGTCAAAAATGATATAAAATTAGTATTCAGATACAAGCAGTATATACCAAGAAAAGACAACAGATGATTCTTTCTTCACCCCAGGTGAGCACAGAAAAGGACCGCTGCAATGATTAGGGAGCTGCTGCGATAGCCTCAGGAAGAAACATTTTCTAGCTTACAAAAACTGCACAAAGTAGTGACAATGAGAGAGCTTATAAAACAACAAATTGCATGAACAAGTCGTAATCCTAGAACCCAAAATCACTCAATTAAGTCAAATGCTGTCTGGTTCAGGACAATCTGTTAAGCTGTGGAATTCGCTGCCACAAGATGCCAACTTAGATAGCTTTAGAAAGAAGTTACATAAATTCATCAAGGGCAAGCCTGTCGACAACTACCAGTCACAATGGCTAAATAGTACTATTAGCATGCCAAGCCGTATGCAATAGCAGCTGCTGGGAAAAAAGAATGAAAATGTCCTTTTGCTTTCAAATCCTGCTTCTGAGCTTTCCATGGGCAACTGGTTGACCAGTGGGAAAACAAAGCTGGACTAGACAGGCTTTTGGTCTGATCCAGCATGACTATTTTTAAGTTTGCATTACCTTACACCTGAGTAAAACCTACACAAAACACATACCTAGCAGGGATACTGTTTTGAGTACTGTAAGGATCTGTTCAGGGTTGCTCTGGCTCCGGCTCCGACTGTGGCTATAGCGGCAATAGCTGTGGTTCCATCTCACTAGCCAGTCCTCTCTTGTCTTAGAATCTCTGTGCAGGTCCTTAAGAAGTTTCATGGCTACTGAGAAGCTGTTCTGCATTTAATAGAGTTCAAAAGGGGGAAATCAATTTAATATTACAAAATACATGAAGACTGAGCACCTATCTTGAATCTAAAGTTGGAAAAGCAAAGTGGCAGTACAGGGAGCCAGGCTGCAAAATGGACCATCCCTCTCTGTTAATAAGGTTTTCAGAAGAAGCTTAAGTACAATTTTTTAAAAGTCCTGTGGACACACACACACAAACACAAGCATCATGGGCTAAAATTCTGCTCCTTAGTAAGTTGCAACTTGAGTAGTGACATTTGAATAAATGGAACTTACATAGGAATTGGCTCTCCAAATCCCTGCTGATTCTATAGGCCTGCTCTAGTTGTGAATTGCTATACTCAGCCAATGTTTTTTTTTAAATTGTAATCTTTCATAAGTTTTATCCCAATGCAGGTAAGTAACTTAATACAACTTTCAGGAATAAAGATGTTTCACTCAATGCAAGCGGTGCCTAAGCCTGGTGTTTGATACAGGTAATGATATTATACCTGAACTGCTACTATAGTTGAGAATGTCCTTATGTTTAGCTTTGCCTCTCAGTTATATTAGTCAAGTATAAAGTATCACTGAAATCTGCAACTAAATAGAAGAATGGTAGAACCATAAGAGCAAAAGAAAACAAAATAAAACTGCACCTAGAGATTTATGTGTTTCTCATTTACACCGTACAATAAGCACTAGCAGTGTGCATAGTGCTCCATGCACAAGCTATGTGTGCAATTCAAATAATAACTTTAAAGAATCCCAAATGCAATGTGAAAGTGTAAATAACAGTATAATACTGCACTGGCAAGGTACATAGTAAGTCATCCTCTGTCTTTTAAATGTGTCACATGCTGTAAAGTGCAAGGTTTGATAAAGCCAGGTATCACAAAGCACACAAAATACATTGGGGTTTTTTGTATCTTATTCAAATCTTATTCCTGCATTTTTAATGTGTAGGATGATGGATTAAGGGATAAGGAATAAGACAAAGACCTGTTTCCTGGCACTCTCAATCATCTTCATTTTCATGTTAAATTTGCAATTTGTAATCATGAAGTGTGTGTTTTGCTTCTCGTCTCCTACTTCCATTTTGGAACTAGCATCTCCATCACCATCCACATCCATACTGTCATCCAGATGAGTATTAGGGAGTCTTTCTTGAATTTTGTTGAGAAAGAAACATCTGCAACAATAAGAAGAAACACAATGAAAGCAGAACAAAAATTAGAACTGGAAAGGTCATTTGTCCTTAAAGGTACCCTAAATGTTATTGTGTTGTAATAACTGTTATTAGTCCAAGCTCTTCAGTGTAGACTTAACAGTTTAGTCAGTCATGCTTCACCTTACTCTAACATGAGCGTAACAAATAATAATCTTATTAGACAAGAAAAAAACAAAAAGTAAAGTGGGCTGCTTATATACCATCCCATGGCACTTAAAACACTCTCTGGGCAGTTTACAAGTTAATTATGCAGGCTACACATTGCCCCCCCCCCACGAGCTAGGGTACTCATTTTACCAACATCTGAAAGAAGGAAGGCTGAGTGAGCCTTGAACCAGCTACCTTGGATTGAAACCCAGGTCATAGCTGTAATTGGTTAAGAAGCATGTTCTCACAAGCATTTGTTACTCACAAATATAACTAGGAAGACAGAAGTTTCTGTCTTTAAGTTCTATGAAAATCTGGAATTTGCATCTCCAGATAATGAAGAGATTTGTTCTACTGCATTTCATTTTTTCATAGAATGATGAATGCAACACTACTGTCGCATTTTAGAAATCATTTTTAAAACCAAACTGACTCACATAAGATACTGCTATGCAACTATGGAACCTGTAGTTGCTGTGCAGAAACACAGGGGCAGACTACAGTCCATACAGGGGGTGCCTCACCCCAAAATTACTGGGTAAGGCACTCCACCACTAGGACTATGGCCACCAGTACTGTACACAAATCATTGTCTTACTGTAGACTAGCCCCACTTTGCTCCCAAGCTGATAACGGACACTTCATCTGAGTTTGTTGTTAAGATGGAATCATTTCATTGGAAAGAGGTGATATTCTTGGTGTTTAACAATGACTGAGATCAGCATTTTTTACCTGTTTGTGATAATATCATCCCAAATGTTCATTGGATCCATTCTGGTATCAGGATATCTGCTTGTCCAAATACTGAAAAGTCTCTTAAGGGAAGCTTGAGAAGCTATATTACCTAAGAACCATTTAACAGGAAGACAGCTATTAAGAGGTAGAACTCACAAAACATTTACAAAATTATATTTTAACTAGACCGTCAAGAGTATGAACGACGCATACGTGTTTAAATTCAGGACAACTAGCATGGCCAATCACTGATTTTCAAACTGTATATATATGACTCTATAAACATCAGCTCCACTGCTCACTGGAAGTTGCATTTTTTTATTTTATTAATATATAACATATAACACAATATGAAGCAAAATATAACAACATTTATTCAAAATAAAAAATATATAAAACTCAGTGCACCCCATCTTTGGGACTAATTTGGATATTTCGATATAATTAGTATTTGTCAGCACTCTATTCCTTCCAAAATTGTAATGTTTCTTGTGTAGGTAACTGTCCGTTCTCTTTTATTTATACAAATTCTATAAAGTTTCCCCATATATCATTAAGTTAAGTATACTCTTATTCAGCAAGCCTTTTTATAACTTGGTATCACGTGTTAACTTATAATTAACTGTTATATTCCAAATCTGGAAGTTGCTCCTGTCTGATTCCTGGATTTCAAAAGCATCTTCTGATGGCAGTAAAAACGAGTAGTAGTTTAATAAACAAAGCACAATGCCATGTGTATCTCTGGATCAGGACTAATTATCAAGGTCACTCTTTAATTAGGAGAAAAAACACAGGCTAAACAACAGAGATTGTCATGAAAAAGTGACATTCAGGATTATTTTATGCATCAAATGAAAGAGACATACTTATTTTGGGGAGAAACAAACATTACTACCCCTGACCTGGAGATGAATTATTGTAAACACATAGGTTTACTGGAATGGTATATGAAAGGATTACATTTGTGAGGGGGGGGGCAAAGGACTTACTTGGTTTGCTGATAAAGTTAATGAAGTCCTGTATTTCTGTCAAAGCCTGAACAGACTGCAGCTTGGTAAGCCGACTCTGATGCAACAGCGAATCAATATTTGAATAGTTCTATGAAGAAGAAAAACCAGCAATTTCTATCCAACCACCAGTTCTTTCTTCTGTGTGCTACATTTTTTTTCTTTTCCACACACAAACCCCATCTATCTACTTTCCCAAGGAGATGAGCCTTTCAGTGACATAATCCTCCACAATGGCTAAAAGTGCTAAAATTGAGCTAATATCATTTCACACCATGTTTCCTAAATGTAAACATTCACATCAGAAAATGCATGATAATTACCTGCATGAACACCTGCATAGCGTTGTTAACATAGTACTTGGCTCTGTCAAAATCATCCTGCAAAATGTAAAGAAGACTCAAATCTTGACTGTAGTACATCTCTATAAGGGCTTTCTTCTGTTCTGTTTTCATAGCCTCATCAATAAATGTCAGTAAAGACTGGTCACTTTCTCCATGAAGAAGAAGTTTCAGCTTACTGCGAATAATATATGGCAGATAGGTTTCCTAAAGTGGAGGGAAATTGAAATTACTTCATATGTTTGTAAAGGCCATTATGGGATTATGAATGATAAAATCAAATTATGTCAAATATGTACATTAAAGTGTAAAATAACTTTCCATCTCCAAAGGCACCAGATTCTACTACACAAGTCTACTAGTAAGTTTAAAGTTCTCCTGACAGCATAAGGGCATTAGGTAAGATACCTGCCCATGGTTTCCTAACAATTTTGAACACTGAAAGACAGCAGTCAAGGAGGGAGATGGGCCATAGTTTGTCAGCAACAAGTGGGGCAGTTTTTCATTATTTATATATGAACACTATTTGCATGATCAAAATCCACACACAAACTAGCAGGTGCTGTTTGACCTGTACAGAAAACACAGAGAGATGTAGGAATAAATAATGCAGTAGTCTGGCCCTATAACTCAAAAAAGTCATGCTGTAGAAACTTAGTATAACTGATACATAGAAGAAAATGTATATGCATAGATAAATGTGAAAACCTGATAAAATGGATCACTCCATGTTTTATTTAGATCTGGGGGTTGTTCATTATCAATGTTAACAGTTGAACAGTATTCTAGAGACTTCCATTCCGTTAGGCAGTTGTAGCATTCAAGAGAAGCAAGTTCCCAAAAATCCTTTTCTGCTTCTGTGGGTTCTCCCTCTGGCCAGTCTTGAGTGGAGAGTGCCTGTAAAAGCCAAGATAAATCTCAAATGACAGACAAGTATTTATTTAGTAATTATTTTAATACATTCACAGAATTCACAGCTAATTTTCCTTTCTAAAATAATATTTTTTCCTATGCAAAAGAAAGGCAGGAACATAGAAAGTTGTCTCATATCCACTGAGCCCATTAGTCCATCTAGTTCAGGTACTGCCTATACTGTGACTAGCAGCAGCCTTTCAGAATTTTAAGGAGCAGCATGTCCTGGCTGTACCCTGGATATTTTGGATGTGGTATGCACACTTGGCCCCTGCCCATAAAATGGAGGAATTCATATAACAACAAACAAAAATTATCCAGAAAGAGATATGATTGTTTAGCAAAACTAAGTCCCAAATACCACAGTACCTCTAAACAAAAGCACCAATCAATGCTATCTGAATCTTCTACACCATTTCAAATAAACAGAAATATTCTGATAGAATACCACAAAACAGAGAAATTTTGCAACATGAAATCAGTCTGGTAATAATAACTCTAGTCCACTTTGCAGGTCATTGTTCTAACTTCTTCATTTTTATCTTTTCTTTCTCTATTTATCCACTCCCTCCTCCTTCTCCACCTACCTCCCAGCATACTACCAACTGTAAACTTGCATTTAAAAGCTTGCCTAAAGTCTAAATACTTTCAGGTGTAATTTAAATCCCTTTCTTTCTTCCTTTCTTCCTTTCTTCCTTCATTCATTCATGTATTTATTTATTTATTTGCCGCCCACACTACTCAAAGGTCTCTGGGCGGCTTACAATATTTAAAATACAATAAAAAATCGTAACATTTAAAATACAATTAATATATATATAAAATTGCCATCAGACGAACAGTTAATATTATTTCAATTAAAAGCCTTCTGGAACAGGAAGGTTTTGACCTGGCGCCTAAATGTCATCAGTGTTGGCACCAGATGAATCTCAGTCAGGAGGGCATTCCATAGTCTGGGGGCAAGCTGCCAAAAAGGCCCTTTGTCTACAAGCCGTCCCTCTTACCTCTTTCAAAAGGGCCCCCTGGCTAGATCTTAACTGCTGGGTGCCTAAGATAGTTTTTATGATCAAAGAAGAAGCTATGATTTGGAGAACGTCTTGAAAATCCATCAGCAGACTGAACAATTACTTTTTTTTCAGATATAACTTTACCTCATCATAATGCTTAGCAGCTTCAGCATAATCACTTTTTGCTTCAGCTATTAAAGCCTTCTGAGTAATTTCCTTAGTACCAATCTTTCCACTGAAAATTCCCTGCAGAACATCATACTCTCCAATGGATCGATAAAGCCTAGAAAGTGTGAGGGAAATTGTCAATGGCACTTTTTACTCTAGCTTCTGATTATCAAAATGATCTCTATGTTCTTAAAATGAGGTTATCATAGAAGAAAAGAAGTGATTCAAGGACATAAGTTGTCTGTATATTTATTTTTATAAATGTATGAAGGATGCTAGCGCTAAGACACAATGATTATTACAAGGAAATCTGGCAAATATTAGGAATGATGTTGCAGAGAGGCTCAGTCATGGTGGCCTTGTGAACAACACGCAGTCCAGGCTGTATGTTCTGTCGGCATCACCATCAGTAAAGGATCTTTAAAAGATCTATTTCATTTCTCAAAAACTAGCAAGAATCAAAGGCTTGAAGTCCAGGAATAAGAAAGGATCTCAGTGTAGCAGGAAGTTCAGTTCTTAACCGTTCTCCACTTATCAATTTGGCCTTTCAGCTCATTCTTTTGTTTTTCCTTTCAGCTTTAATTCACCACTCCATGCTATCACACTGCTTCTAATGCAGCATCACTACTGAAAGCTGATTACCGTATTTTTCTTTTTATAAGATGACCTAATGTATAAGACGACCCCCCCCCTTTTCTAACCCCCAATTAGAAAATTTGCACGATCACACCCCTTTGGTCCTGAAGCCCTTTCATGGCTGCTTCAAGATCAACGGGGTGCAATCCTGCCGCCCTTTCACTGCTGCTTTACCCTGTGGTTTCGCAAAAGGCAGGGAAAGCGGCTGCCTTCCGTGTATAAAACGACCCTCAATTTTTTTGTCTAATTAACTAAGTTAAAAGTGTTGTTTTATTCATGGAAAAATATGGTAAATAAGTCCATATATGACCTAAATGCCTAGCCATCTAAATACTACTTATTGTTTTCTTTATACAGTTGATTAGAATTACAACATATAGAACTGTAGGAAAAAGTAAAGGAAAAAAAAACCCAGCCAAAAGCAACATATTGTGGAACTTTAAAGAATAAGAGACTTATTTCAGCATGAGCTCTCATGGATCAAAATGTAGCTTTTCTGACACAAGGAATGCAGCTATACTCTTTATATATATCCCCATGGGAATAGGAGTCATCAGATATGAACTTTTCTGTTTTGTGTGTGTGTGTGTGTTGTTCCAACACAACAAAGAAATGAACATGTGAGTACCAAAACATTTGCAACTGCAACAATTTTCTGAGAGAAGGCTTGCATTTTTTGACAGAACTGCAAGGTGCCAATATTTTTGGCCATGACTGTACCTGGAAAAGACCTTGATGTTAGGAAAGTGTGAAGGCAAAAGGAGAAGGGGACGACAGAGGATGAGATGGTTGGACAGTGTCATCGAAGCAACCAATATGAATTTGACACAACTCCGGGAAGCAGTGGAAGATAGGAGGGCCTGGCGTGCTCTGGTCCATGGGGTCACGAAGAGTCAGACACAACTAAACAACGATGACGTATCTGGGTACCAGGTCTTTCAATTCCCGGGTGCTAGCTCTATTATCCTTTTTCACCACGCTGAATGACCACTGGTGTTTAAGAAATGTCTGTGCTAAATCCATGAATGTCCAGTTTATGTGGTTCTGAGGAAATCCATATTACAGAGCTTGGCTATAGACAATGGACTTGGTTTGTTCTGGGTTATCTGGTTTGTGTAGTTTGGGTAGTACATAGAAGGAACCTGGTTGAGAATGTTGTGCTGTGTCTATGAAGATTCTGGTAACAGACATCTCCAGAGATTTTTTTTTCATTTGCTCTAGTAATTTTTTCTGGTATTCAGCAGCAAGATTTGTGGCAAGGGGTATGTAAAATTTAGTGCTGGATCATTATTTCTCAGCCTCCTGTCTGTAATCCAATTTGCTCATGTGAGCCCCTCCTTTTTCTACCTCTTTGATGAGGGTACTGGGATGTTAAAAGACTATGAACAGTCTTGTGCTCCATCCACATGTGGCAAATTATGTTTCTTCTTATCTCCTGACCACAGTGGGGAAAGCATCCAATAAAGAAATCTAATTTCTTTCTTTGACCCTCAGGGGGATTTTCTGAAGAATCTTTCTTTCTGCAGCGATAGGTGACATAAGTCAAAGGGCTTAAATTGTGTTTCATAGCTTAAGGGCTTAAATTGTGCTTCATAGCACAAATATATTAATAATGCAATTATCTGTAATATGTGTAGAAAATAGCTGCCTTCCTGAGATATTCTGACCTCTGCCCTAAGAAGTGAATATTAAAAATTTCTGTGATAGCTAAATATACCTGATAATCACCATTTTGATCATCTCATCCGTATGACTCCCACCATCATGGGGATATGTATAAATACATGGGACATTGCATAAGCACCTAATATGTCTGAGGAAGTAGATTTTCACTGAAAAAAGCTCATACTTTGAAAAAAAAGTTAGTCTTTAAGGTGACACAATATTTTATCTGCTGTTCTCTCTCCTTCAGCCTCCCACTTTAATTTTGCCAGTGTACAGAAATAGATTAACATGGCTAGCTCTTTGGAAACATATAGAAATGTATCTCTGGGGGAGATTCTCTGAGCAGTTCACTGTAATTCTATAGATTACTATCACCTGCCTATAACCATATAGTAATTAAATCAAAAACAAATCAATTTGATAAGTATTATTAACTTGTATAGAATAGATTAACAGGGCAAGGCAGAGCAAACATATAAAGGATCCTTCTCAGGAAAAACATACTTGGCAAGTTCAATCCATCTGGTCACATCGGGTGATAGTGGTATCTTCCCACGCATTCGTTTGGAGGGTGGCTCCTTCCCTTCCTCAGGGGAAATGTGAACTAAAGCTTGTTCAAGCAGCAAGATACCCACTGGTTGCTGTAAACTTGCTAAGCAGCTAGCACTCACAGTAGAAGAGCTGAGGTCCAAAAGCTCTTTGTGCTGGTAGCTCATTTCCTGTTATACCAAAATCATAATTAGCCATTGAGATATAGAATAACATATATCCAGTGCATTTCCTTAATCTGACAACACATTTTTGGTTGCCAAAGGTGAGGAAGGGCAAAAAGGGCACCACACTGTTACATAAAGTCATCAGTAAATTGTTGGGAAAGTTACAGAGGATAGAGGGTTTTCATGCAACCAAATAATTTAGGTAGTGGCACAAAGAACTCCTTCAGCTAAATAAAGCTACGACAGATGTTTGTTGGAATCCAAATGATCTCCACATAAGATTTGTACAATTTGACACCACTAATTGCTCCTAATTTATGAGCTACTGAGGATCATCTCCGCTGTGCAGTCAGGCATATGACTGAGCACTATCTGCAGCACTTTATGCTAACCTCTTCAGTTTCCAAACACCAACAGGGTTTTGATCACTATTATTAAAAGAAGATACCAAGTTAGAAACTCCTGATTCTGGCTAGAATTTTCTTTCTTTCTTTCTTTCTTTCTTTCTTTCTTTCTGGGAAGTGGGACAGGTATCAATCTACCTTACATTCTCACATCTTGGGAACAGAGGTTTCAGATATCATAGTGAAATGCAAAGAATTTATAAAGTGCTAGTGCTTCAGAACTCTGTTATTTTGTCAAAGAATGCACCTAGTGCTCTGAGTGATGGAAGATCTTCCTGATGATATCCTGTTCTAAAACAGATCGCTGAAGAAATAACTATTCATATTCCGGGAACTCCAAATGAAATCATCAAGTAATTTTTATATAGGCAAGCAAATCAATCTGCATCTATATCTAGGGAGCACTGTATGAATTCCATCCCGCCTCTGCTGCAGACAATTTTTGCAGCTGTGTCATCCGCCCAGGTCATGAATATTCATATGCTAGTGCTGAAGGGTCGGAGTCACAAAAGATAAGAGACTCAGCAGCAGCAGGAGTTTTAGATAGGGACATAGGGTTTTGAGATAGAGAAAGGAAGAGTTATGACGGCAGCCTCTCAGGATGTCCCACCCAAGTGTACTTTTTCCCCTGAATATAAATATTGATTCTGCTCCTGGAAGTCTCCAGGTGCAGGAGGTTTTACATTGCAGGGCCTCCAAATCACGAAGGACTCCCAGTATCAAATACATATTAAACTTTCCACTTTCATTTCTGTGAGTAATCTTGGGCCATTTCCATGAACAGAGCAATCCACAGTGAATGCTGGAGTAAAAATCTGTTTTCTACCCCGCCTGATCTATGTGCAAGAATAAGATTCTATGAAAGAAGAAGAAAAGTTGCTATCTCCCACCAACTATCTATGATTTACAGTGTAATCCTAAATACATTTACCCAGATGTAAATCCTTTTAAATCCAATAGGATTTAGTCCGCAATGTGTTTACAATTCTAGCCATAATGACATGGAACAGATTGTGGGATTGCATTTCAATGACAGTTCTCCCTGGCACTTCAGAATTTTTGGACTTCTATTTTCATTCCTTTCAACTATAACTTAGGGTTAACAAGCTTTAAGGACATTCCTAAACTTCAGCTCAGAAAGCAGATTTTAAATTATGGGCATGCAGCCTTCATTAAACTACGGAACACAATGTTTGGCCCTTCAAGTTTCTGGCCTTCATTAAACTACGGTGAGCATTTTAGGAACACAATGTTTGGCCCTTCAAGTTTCTGCCTTTCAAAACAAAAAGAGGACATATCTGTAAAGATATTAGCTCACTGTATACTGTGTTAATATTTGTGGCAGAAAGAACTAGCATATCACTAGGTAAAGATCAGCAAATACAAATTAAGAATGGTACCATCTTGAATCATTTTGACTTTGTGTTCATTGCCCGTAAGATATAAAAAGAAAACCAAGAACATGAATTCTTAAAAAACATACAAAGTAATACCTGGATGCAGGCTATGAACGGAGGGAAATACAACACAGATGTAGTCAAAAAATGGTTGAAGTTCTGCACCAGCTGCTGGATGATACTGTTCTTCTCAGCCTGAGATTTAATTTTTTTCATTTCTTCCAGAATTCCACTAAATAAACTATTAAAGAGCTGTTTAGCTAGTATAGGGTCTCTCTGTAATGGAGAATGCAAATAATAAATCACTGGTAGAAATGTTTGCAATACTAGTGCAGTAATATTTTCTGCACTTTGTCAAATACGCAAAGGACAGGTTGACCCAAAAGTAAAGCATATTTTGGAGGGAAATCCAACTGTTCTATTCAGCAAAATCCTCATGTTACTCCCACCAGTGTGGGGAAGTGACAGTACCTGCAGCAGTGCGACCCAGCATCCAAACAAGGAATCTTTAATTAGCAGCTTCTAATTAGAGTCTGCAGTGTGGTCCTTCATTGCACATAAGCCTGGGTCATGTACCAAGCTACCCAACTTGTGTACAATGAAGGACTGCAGTGGGGACTCTAGCAATCTGAGCAAAGATTTCCCACTCAGCTGTTGGGCTGCTCCATTGCAGGTAATGTCATTTCCTCTATACCAGCATATGCTGTGGAACTAAAGTTGAGCTATTATGTTTCATGGTACTATAATAAGGACCCTGAAGTTATTTTAATGCATTGTTTTCAACATCTGGCACATGCTGAAACACACAAAATAAACAGTTTGTATTGCTACTGTAATACAGATTGACAAGATGGGTTTATAAGATACAAAGAACACATTACTATTTATTCTAATATCTTTAAAAAGCATTGTGGTGTTACAGTCAAATTTGCTATTCTTAACATTGAAATCCTTTGAATAGTTACCTGGATATAAGACCCCACTGAGCTTAGCAAATCTCATTTTGAGTAAACATCTACAAGATGGAACCTTTAGACATGATATCGATTCGATTTCAATTTCGATACCTTTATTGACATGATATCATAATAAATGATAACCAGCATCCTCCTGGAGCCACAAATGGAAATCCAAAATGTCCCATGAATTTGAGCAAGTAATTTTCTAAGGAAGCCTCATTTCCTGTGAAAGGACTAGTTGAAAAAAGAATCTGGAGAGAAAAAATAAACCTTTTCCTGTTTAAAAAATAATCACTTTCTCTGTGGGCAGTTCTCGTTGCTCCTCCATGGTGCATATAGCAGATGATCTCCTTCCTGGGATCAGATAAACTTTCAGATAAACAGATGCTGAAGCTGCTCGCCTATCACAACAGGTTCCCAGAGCAGAAGCTGTGAAAGAGCTCCCTTGAAGCAGAGCTAAAATTAATGGGATGCTCCTCTGCACTAAAAGAGGACCAGGCATGAAATTATTTGGATAGCTCTGCCTCTAAAGCAAGTAAGAAAGGCAATCCACACCTGTATAACCTCTGTAATGCAAAGACTACTGAAGGGATATTGGCTAGGTTGTTTTTTCAGAAGAAACTCTAAGATACATAATTTCTTTCAACAATATACAGTATGGTTGCTACCAGATTCTCAGTACTAGCAAAACCGTGTAAGGTAAAGGTAAAGGTTCCCCTTGACAATTTTTGTCCAGTCGTGTTCGACTCTAGGTGGCGGTGCTCATCCCCGTTTCCAGGCCATAGAGCCAGCATTTTGTCCGAAGACAATCTTCCGTGGTCACATGGCCAGTGCGACTTAGACACGGTACTAGCAAAAATGTGTATGTGGCCATTATTTTTGATTCCATATGACCTAGGGAGGATGAGGATTTATGAAGATAATGTGGACTCCACTCATTGATCACATCCTATATACAAGGCCTAAAGGAAATCTGGAGGACTGAATGTCATACTAAGACACAAATGTTCTTTGTTGTTTAGTCATTAAGTCATGT